CTGATGCTCTTGTTGTTACGTCCAGTCCATCCGAGTGCTGATGGCACTCCTGCTACATAGTCGAATTTCACTGCGCCTGTCTGATACTCACAGCTGTAAAAAAAGGTTTTTAAAAAAATAAAATAATTCAGGTGATTCACTTAGATAGTGAACAAATGTGCAAGTACCATTGGTGTCATCTAAATCTGTATCAGTCAAGGTCCTTAATCGTTTTTTATTTATTTAATCTCGAGGTCCCCCACATGGATTTCTAACGAGATCTGTGTGACTAGATCCGTTAATCTATGGTTTCCGTGATTGACACAAAATAGGGTCTGATCACTCCTGACCTTCAGTCAACTGCAGCTGTAAGCCAAAGAAGGTTTCCCGGTGGGAAGTGTGACATCTGCGCTAACCGTCCGGAACCAGGATGGTTGAGAGCTTCAGTAACTCTTTAACAACGAATATCTAAACACTAACAGGCAGTACTTGTCCCGTTGTCCAAACATTCTCTTGCGCTGCGCTCAAACGATGTTCCTCATCCTCCCGTGAATGTAGCTACGTGTGCAACGAAGAATCACACGAATTTCCCATTAGATCAAGGTAAAGACAAATGGTGTTCTGACGATAGAATATTGGCTGGACGGTGATTTGGCATGTATTCGTCAATAGATTCACTGTTTAGTTGAGAACAGGCGTGGGATAATCAAACATGGGAATGGTGACTGGATGTCAGGGTACGCAATCAGTTGTCAAGCCCATTGTAGATGGCATACTGTGGGAAAGTGACTTACCTTGTGTCCGACAATTGTGGCGTAGTCTAAACCCAGAGAACGCACATTGACCGGTAATTTACCGACTGCCTGAGCGAGATCAGAATGAACAAACACACGTCCCAACGGAAGGGAACTGGGTGCCACGTTTCTTTCCCACTCCCGAATACTCTGGACGATCTGTTGGATTGGCTATACACAACATGAATATGGGTCAAAGAGGAAAATGCAAATTTATAAGGACAATTTTTCACTCCATTTGTATACATGTATGGCGTCGCGTGAGGTATGCACGAATAGTAGACAAGTACGTACGATCATTGGCTTGCCACTCACACCGATATAGAACCGTCAATGTTTAGTGACAATAGCACAGCACAAAAAACGATGTAAAAAGGATACCCCGACTCAACTCATTCTCAGTACAACGTTTTATGTTACCACATATCTTTCCATCAACAAAGGAGTGAGATAACGACAATTTGGATGAATTGTTCAGACGTTACCCGATAGAGAAACCTCGTTCATATTTGTCCATAGTATCCATAAAGCAATCTCACGCACAAGAACGGATCTATGTATACGTTGCGTGTATGTTCAACGAACCATCTAAGACGGCCAGGCACATTGAGTTAACCACGGCCATTCGGTAGTCTGACTAGACTACATGTCACCGTATCTGCGAGCGTAATTCATCCACTGTAACGTATCTGTTCCCATGTGTTGGATTTCATATGGAATATATCTCGAAATAAACATCCGTCTACCAGTGTTCGGTGCTTGATCTGGACATACCTTAGAGTCCAGAATGCGGGTAACACTGAAATGTCAGCGTACGTAATACTTTACCGAATAACGCCTTTGACATAAATGGATTTCTGAAGAGTGTAAATTTAGTTGACGCTAGTCGAAAAACATTGATTAGTTTACTTATAGTTAATTTTGGAGAAGGATGGAATGATAACCTCATTCTAAGCAAGCATCGGCTTTGGAAAATCAACTTCATCCATGCTTGAGGCCTGAGGACTGCGATCATTGTACAGCAAAATACAGTGAAACGTATTTCATTGTTTCATTGCAATACATGTAAAAAACTAGCTAGGTGGAAAGGAATTGTACCGGTCGAGGGGGGGGACAGGTGGATTACGTGAACAAACGTGGCCAAAAAGAATTTGCCTAATCTCTCCCTCCGTACTTCGAACACTTCGAACTCAACAACAACAAATTTGGGCTCATATCTCAGATTTTTGACATCATTGGTATTTTTAAATCAGATTTCCCAGTTAGACTCGATTTGCGTGTAGAATTGAAGTGTGACAGTTCTATGTTAATAATTATTCTTGGAAGAAGTTGATGATGCATTCTTCACAAGTGGACTTAAAGGGACGCAACGATCGCGAATATTGCCGTTCATTTTCGTTATTGGTTGCAACTATTGCGGCAAAATTTTTCCAGAAAATAGTTCCAAAGGCAAAGGAATACATCTTCAGATTCTGCATTGGTAACATCCACTGCGACGTACGTGAATGACCTCGCAGGAATAAGATCAAAAGACAATGTCTACGCTAAGACGGGAATCGGGGAATTCGGCATTCTGTCACGGACGCTAAGATCAGCAAAGTTTTATATTAGAGCCTTCATCATCATAATAATAATAATCTTTATCAATGGCAGGCGCCAATTTTACCTGGCCAAAAACAACAAATTAACAGATAAAAATTTGTATGTAGATGATATTTTGGAACAACTACGACAAATAGTGATAAACAATAATGTCATCAAACATTCTACTTTACCATTCTTAATGAGCTTGATCTAATTTTGTTGTATGTGACTCAATTCAGTAGTCAATATATTTTACCCCTACCTCAGTGTTGAGGGTCAAGAAAGCATACTTCGGTATGTCCCGTACTACCAAATCCACTGTAATCAGTTATCCAGGACCTCGCAACCTTTTTTAAAACTATTCAAGCCTGAAAGAGACACTAGACCTTCCGATCTAACTTGTTCGGGCTAAATCTCAGTTGAAAGCACTGTATGTGGCTGCCAAAGCATTTGTCCAGCATGTGCTTAATCGATTTGCTACAGTGAGGTATGCACGTACGCGGGCAAACCAAGGAGGCTTCTAGCCCGGCAAAGAATGTATCGATCAGATTTTCATCCTAAGGCGAATTCTGGAAAACTGATACAAGTTTCAGCGCCCCACCGCTACATGTTTCATTGACTTTCGCGCCGCATTCGATTCAGTGGGCCGCGAGTCTCTGTGGAAGATAATGCTTGCAGATGACGTCCCTGCAAATTTGGTCAATATAATGAGATCGTATTACACCTTAACCAAAGCCCGTATCAGTGCCTACGGCGAAGAGTCTCATCCCTTTGATCTGAGGTCAGGAGTAGGACAAAGATGCCCGCTATCTCCAGTGTTGTTCAACTTCGCCGTTGATTGGATTCTGCGTCGGGCAATGGGGGGTTACCAAGGCGTCCAAGTTTTCGCGGATTGCTGGATTACTGACCTCGAATTCCCCAATGACGTGATAGTTCTTGGAGAGAACCTAACCGCCTTACAAACAGCTCTCAACCGCACCAAAATATTTTCCTCCGAGATCGGCCTTGAGATTAATCTTAACAAAACTAAGATGTTCGCTACTCCACCTGAGCAACCGGAACATCCCCTGCAACTGGGTGGTCGGACAATAGAAATTCTATCGGACTTCAAGTACCTTGGATCTATCATCTTACCCAATGGACAAGCCAAAGATGATGTAAAGCGGCACATCGATACGGCCGGAGCGGCGTTTCTGTAGCTCCGAACCACCTTATGGCACCGGAACGAGATCAGCCTCAAAACCAAGCTCAGAGTGTTTGCCACAGAAGTTCGACCAGTCCTACTATACGGCTGCAAAACCTAGCCGCTGAAAGCTGAGGATATCTGACGATTGGAGGTTTTCGATTCATCCTGAAGGTAAACTGGCGGAACAGGGTCTCAAACTTGGACCTCAGAAATCGATGCCACGTTGCCCGCCTCTCAACGCACATATAACACCGCCGACTGGAATGGCTGGGCCATGTTCTCCGCAGACCTGACGACACTTTAACGAGTATTGTCTTGGCTCCGACACCATGTCCTGCCTGGCGCCACCGACAAGGGGGGGGGATAAAAACCTGGCTGGATACTGTATTCGAAGAAGTCGACCAACTTGGCCTTCGGATGGTGTACGGCACTTGCCGATGGAAAACAAACTGGATCTACATTTGTAAGGATCTTGCAGTCAACCGACAAGCATGGATAGCAGCCATCAGAGACATTCATGGAGCCGGCTTATCTTTTCCAAGGAGCCAGCAGNCACTGAAGTGTACCGGCTAATGGACACGGATTAAATTGGAATTTTTCTTATACCTAGTGCTCTTCTCATGAGTCTCGTCTCTTTGAACTTCGGTTATTCTCCATATTTTTTCAGTGAATGTCATTTACGCTGTTATGCAATGGCTTTAAAAGAACACTAAACAACTGTCCGCCAGCAATTGTGTACTTCAGAGTTGAGGGGTTCGACCCTCAAACTGAAGGTATGTGGTCACGTCACGAATATAAAGTCCCAACAACGATAACGCAGCCGTTTAGTACTCCCGGCTAGTCATTACACGAAATCCTACGTCGCGTAAAAAGAGCATACTTTTAACTACGGCGACAGGGCTGTCACGGAGGCGCCTGACAAGGAAGCAGAGAAACAAAGCGGTTGCAAGCAAGTACGGTGCCAACCCAACAGCAATAATGATAAGATGGAGGGATGGGGGACAGCGCATAGCAGTTTGTTTGTTTAGCCGTACACTTTTTTGATGTTTTCGTTTAACTTATAGCGTTTAGGGAGCACGGGATTTCAACAGGCAAACCACCCAACACCCGCGGCACTGACTTCTATACCAGACTACAACCAACGACATTATACATCCCTTGAGCCCCGACCAGGAAGGCGCAATGCACCAACCAAAACCAAGCCAAAGCTTCGTCATACCGCTACGAGATCTCGTGGTGTAACCGCCGCGGTGTTTCTTCCAACCTTGCTCAGCACGTGAAAAGACAGCACAGAAGGGCAGACGAAGGGCAGGCTTGTTCAAAATGACCGAGATATCCGACGGGGCACAGAGCCATTACTTCTTTTAGAGAACGACTATCCGCACTCAACGAAAGAGGACGAACCCCGCCATTGCTCACCCGATGTTTCCACCAGACACAAACAATGCATCAGAGACATCGGTGATCGAACACAAACAGTCGATTAGCATCCACAACTCTGAGGAGTCACGACTAGTGGCCGTTAAACGGAACACTACGAACCGCAGCGATGTGAGCCGTCTCCTTATGGGACTGTCGGATGTTATGTCGACTCCAAGTGTCACGAGCTTTGCAAAAGCCGCCCCAGCTTTCGCTATTCGTGACGTGATCTCTTCCTCAAAACCAGATCCAGCTGCGATCACGCTTCCAAGATAATTAAAGCTCTCGACCACTTTCAGCTGATCACCACAGATTTTGAGTGCAGACACGGCCTCTGCCAATTTTGAGCGGAGATAGATGCCACCGAGCGCATCCCTATATCGAGAATACGATAATGACTATTAACTCGCGGATAACCATGAATAAGGTGGGCTTAAGTTCACCGAATAATCGGTTGGGGACGATTAGTAAGAGCGATGGACGATGTAGTGGATTTATCTCTTGGTAAGGGTTCTCCACGCAAAACACTACACCTGGCTGTGGATATCGCTGTAACGAACTGAAGGTGGTTTGCAGCTGAATATAGCCGATTCTTCTTATCAAGATTCATTGTTTAACAAGTGTATATATATAATGTGCACACAAGTCTGAGTCTAGAGTGTGTGTAAACAATACAATACAATACAACAATACAATGGATTTTCACGGAAAAAGTTCAATGATTTGCTCGTGGGTGAGATACTGCTAGGTTGCACAGTCCAGGGTAAATTTTATTGGGAAATTCACAACCGGAGCCTGCGGTTAGCCAACATCTGATTCACAAGACAGCAGGGTGGTATGTTAAAAACACAATCCGGGGCCGGTTCAGGGCATCCTTCGCCATTTGGACAGCGTCAAACGTTCAAATGCCCAATAAACCTTGGCACCGAAACGTGGTAGTGACCATTGCCACAACCGTCTTGTGTGTGGTTCGTACGCTTCTTCTTGGTTGGTTTGGCAAGGCTTTTCAGGAGAAGCGAATAAACGGAAAACCAAATCACCTGCTTATTTGAAACATCGCTGCTGGAGTGCCGTCCGCGCTTGGTTGCGTGGACTGGGCGCTCGAGTAGTACAATAGCTCACAGCTCATTGGATGATATAATGGAGTGTTGTAAACAGTTGCGCTCGTGTACGGATTCAACTTCCTCACATTTAATCCCCCCCCAACCTGTGATACAATTGTTGTTACCGTGGTAGCGCTGCTGCCACGCATGATGCCAACCTACTACAGTGCGACATGACCTTCCCTGCCTCCCCTTGCACCTCATTCACGGCGTTGTTCGAACCAATTCACTTTTATATCAAATTTTATCATCTAATTTGCTTCCTCATTATGTGTTCTGTGAGACTGTTCATCATCTAATTTGATCTTAACTTCAACCAAACCTGAGGCACGCAACGAACTTGTCCCTCACGGTGTTCAAATGACATTTCAACTCTAAGATTTCTTTGTCTGATATGATCATATAAGTGTGATGACCAATATCAATTTTGCCTCCATATATCTTCGTGTGTTCATGAAGTGGATAAAGTGAAAAGAATGTTTCATTGTCATTTTGTATCTTTACCTATGCATGACTCTGAACTTTTCGTCTAACTTAACTAATTTCTTCCCTAGTTGAGCGGTTGGACGACCAAAGCATAGCAATTGAACGGTGCTGACTTCTTGGTAACATAAAGTCAACAGAAACCAACTGGATCTTGATATCGACAAGTCGCGCTTTAGTGTAAACATACGCATGGTAAGCCACAAGCTAGGGAGATCCACCATATTCTGTTCTATTCCTTATGTTACCACCTTAAGTTCAATTAAAAAGAATTCCAGTGCCAAATAAACACCCAGAAAGGCACACTGGCTCACCGAAATGGCTCCCGTTTCATTGTTGGCCAGCATTACAGAAACCAGTACCGTCTGGTTCGGTTTCAGGGCAGCCAACACATCTTCATAATGCGCGACACCAGTTTTATGACTCACGGGAATAACAGTGAGATCTAAATTCGGAAACAGGAATAAAAAACAGTGAAATGAAGTTGATTGGAAACAAAAGATATTCAGCAAGAAATAGCCATTAGTAGTTTAATCAATAGGGTACTAAGTTAGAACCAAATTGAGCAGTGTTCTCTCACTTGATTCAGCAGATCTTTCTGATTGCGGATACATGCAATCTGCCCGTTTCAGTCCTTGGAGCTAGTTCTTCGTGTATAGTACTTTTACAATTGTCTTCTTTCCTTCTGCTTCAATGGATGTACAATGGTACAATAAGGATTTCAACAAGTAGTAGGATGTATATGTGTTGAAACCGATCGAAGGGCATGGTAATAAAACCAAAAATGCGGACTGTGATCGTGACCTCAAAAATACAAGCATATCATGACAGCGATATTCGGTTACCTAAGAGAAATCATACTGTTCCACTTTAACGGCTGAGCAGATGTGGGGAGAAAATATATACTCACAAATTCGTCTGAAAATTTCAAAAAAACGCAAATGAATCTTTTGGTAAAAAGTTATTTAATGACCGACAAAGAGTATTATATAACTATTTCATCCGATTGGAGACTCACCCGCAGTGACACTTTTTGTGTCTCTGTTGGGACTCGAACATTTGGTATGGGTGTCGAAATCTTAAACCTTGAACTACATGGTCGACGGGCAACACCTTAATCAAAGGACGTAATTCTATTTAGAATATTGTGTTTGGTTCAGCCCACTCGATTGTTTACAGTCATCAGGCACTAAATTAAACGATTCATTCACTCAATGTGTTGGCCGTCGACATGAGACCGAGTACAAAGCTATACAACAGGAGGAAAACAATTAATTCATAGTAGATATGACAAAAAATCGAAATTAGGTGCGAGGGGAGGTCTACGAGGTTCGCGAAAATAAGCGCTTAAAGGGGGAACGGATGCTTGACGCGGACACGTCAAGTCAAATCTTTGTGGAGGGGATGTGTGGGGTCAGCAAGAATGTTCTCTGATAACATTTATCGTGTTAAGAAATGAATCATTCGCCAAATTGAGAGCGAGTCAGGTGATTGTATAAAGATAAAAGTTGATGGACATACAGATATGGGTGTGAAGTCCTTAACGAACAGAGCAAAGAAGACTACGGGGAGGCATACAACAACTGAGATGCAACTTCTTCATGCATAAGTCGGTTTTACATTTGAATTTCTGTTAGAGTTACGCAACTGTTCACGAAAATCAGACGCTTTGTTATCTCAATTTGTGAAGTTCAATGGAAAATTGATGTTCATGTTATTTATTCACGTAATGTACACTAAATCTCCTATCCTGGTTTCAATGAGTGATAATCAATTAGTCGCTCAAGTTCAAGAATTCGCCTGTAAAAGTCTGTGGAGATGGGTGGAAATCATTTCTTCACAGACTCACCTATAAGTCCATCAGTGTGAAGCTTTCGCAAGGGAACGAGCACGGACGGATGTTCTGTATTGACTGTGACAATGTGCGGCTTAATATCCAACGGAATGTTCACAAAAGTATGGAAAACTGAATGGTTTGCCTCAGTTCCGCCAGAAGTGAAAATCAGATCTGCACGTGCATAACCCAATTAGGCGTCCGCTTACCATCTGGATGTGCTTGAATCATGCGTGCAAGCATGTTGCGTGATTTGGTTATTTTCTCACGCGCTCCTCCTCCTAAATTGCATACAATGTAATGCAGATGAAAGTAATAAAAGTAATAAGCCTACGGTATGAACTGCTTGGATTTTCCCAACATTTTTCCGCTGTTGTTTGAATTGTTTCTATCACTGTAGGATCCATCGGTGTCGTTGAGTTATAGTCAAAATATAATGGCACAATAGACGACATCGGAAAATCTGCGGAACAGAGATATTTAGATGAAATCTCCGCGATGAAGCTCGATACCCATAGTAAATCCTCCAGGACAAACAATACGCATGCATTCAACCGGCTATATCAGTTTGGGTTCATTTTTTCCCCCAACTATTGGCTTGCACTGTCTTGATTCGGTTTTGCGTGCTAATTTGTCTAGCGAATTTGGAAGGATTAAATTGAAGAGCTTAAATGCAAGCTCTAGAAAAATAAACATACAGAAAGCAATCAAATTACAACAGCGTCAAAATGAATCGATGTACGATAGATACTGTGTACGCTAATCAGCTATATCATTCAGTGTATCTAACCCCGGACTATGTTGCTCGTGAGATCCCCAACCATGGAACCAAATGCGACCTAGGTGAGCGGGTGCCCCGGTCAAGGATTTCATTTGCTCATAATGGATATTACTCTACTCCCCACCCAACCCCTTTTAGCCGTGTTCATTTACCACCCACCTCGGCAAATAATGTACGCTGAAGAAGACAATCTAGTGACGTGCTTCTTGCATGCCTCAGTTGTCGTAATCTACGGAGATCGAGTAGAGCAAGTGGACAAGTTTTGTTATTTGGGCAGCTACATCTCACCCGGTGGATGCATTACGGATGACGCGTCAGCTCGCGTACACAAGACTCGGTTGGCATTTGCTAACTTGAGACATCTGTGGCGCTGTCGCGACATCCGACTGCCTGTGAAGGGTCGGGTGTATACTGCGGCAATTCGTTCAGTTCTGTTATAGGGCGCAGAAACTTGACCATTAAGAAAAAAGGATTAAGACAGACTGTCGGTGTTGGAACACCGCTGTCTACGCAGCATTGCACGAATCTGGTGGGGTGATCGGACGAGCAATGCTGAAGTTAGGAGCAGAGTTTTAGGTAACTGTGGTCAATCACTGGAGCAATATATATATATATATACATATATATAACACCAATGGCCTTCCAAGAGGGTTGAAACGTTGTCACCAACGCCTTTGTGTTTTGCTTTTCATTCGTCGTGGCTAAGACAAGCTAATTTCCTCAATATAACACCAATGTTTACAGATACGGTGCCAAAATAACCATGGGTGAACGAAAAAATAAACGTAAAACTTCGGGGGGTAACATTTTTCTGTCGTTTTACAGCAAGTCACTTTGAGTTTTTTCGTTTTTGTTTATTTTGGGGATTGCCAACAGGAGAAGATACATTGGTGCCACTGGCTTCGGTTCGATGTTATATCCCGCAGTGGCTCCAGCCAAAGACAATCCGAATCTTTGGGGCCCCAGCCGAGGAGCCGGGAAACCCCAAAGGAAGCCAGATCCGAGCACAATCTCTTTAACCCTCTGCACCACGTCATAACCTGCTCACCTCGCTGTTTCTTCCAGCCTGGACCGATGTTTGAGAATAGAACAGACGGTGCTCAGGCATTAGTAGGACGTGCCCTAGCCACCTATCCACCTAAGACGACACTGTTAAATTATTTTGCTCAAAGGAAGATTATCTGATCCTAGCACTCGTAGTCTGACTTCATCGTTACTCACACGATGCTCCCAACATACGCGTACGATGTTGCGCAGACAGCGGTTGTCAAAGAGTCGCTGGACTTGAGCTGCTCGCAGATGCCAGGTCTCGCAGCCATAGAGCAACACGGTGCGCGATACACACGTCCTTTCAGTGAAAGGGATATATCGCGCCGGCGCCAGAGATGCCGCAGATTAGCGAACGCTAATCTAGCTTTGATCACGCGTTGAGAGATTTTGCTCACACCTCCGCCAGCCGTTATGCAACTCCCAAGGTAGAAAAATCTTTCGACTACTTCCAGAGTGTCATTATCCAACGAAAGTGCAAGAATGGGTTCCTGCCAATCTTGCAACAACACTTTGCACTTTGAAGGTGCAAAGCGAATAACCTCAATTGCCAAACGGTTCAACCAGTCTTGAATCGTTGTCAGCCAGTAAGGCAATATCATCGGCATACTATAAGTTTATGACTCAGTCCCCAGGAAGAAGCTCGACACCAGCTTTGGCTACGTTATGTAGTGCGTTTTGTAGGACATCGTCTATGGCAAAGTTGAAGAGAAACGGAGAAATAGGGCAACCCTGTAGCACTCCACTGGTGACAGGAAATGAGGATGAAAGTTCACCACAGGCCCTAACCTTCCCCGAGGTCTGGTGATAGAGCGCTTTAAGGAGTGAGACATACTTCTCGGGTACTCCGCATCTCCGCAAACAGTTCCACAGTGCAGGACGATCGATAGAGTCGAAAGCCGCTCTGATGTCTAAAAACACGACCATGGTTTGCCGTCTTTATGCTTGGCGGTGTTCTAGTAGCTGACGGAGGGTGAAGATTTGATCTATGCAATCGCGGCGTGAACGAAACCCGGCCTGCTCCTCGCGGATTTGCTTCTCATGGAATGGGCATAACCTGCGAAATAAAACGGACGCCAGCAGCTTCGGCCCTATTGGAATCAGACTTNCGTTGTGACAGCCCTTCTGGTAGATGGGTGTGACAATCGATTCTCCCCATGTGTGGGGTACACTTTCAATTTCCCAGATCTTCGAGAAAAATCTCACAGGTTCTCTTACGTAAGCTTCTCCGCCATCTTTAAAGAGGCTAAGTGGTAGGCCGTCCGATCCAGCTGCCTTGTGACATTTCAGGGCTTGGGGTTCCTTTCCAATCTACGCTTCTGTGGGCGGACCCGTGAATAGTGACCATTCTCAAGAGGACTGCTTGGGGCAGCCAGCTCGGGGGATTGGTTGAACTGCGATGTGAAGTGCTCTGCCCAGCCTTCCAAGCGTCGGTGAAGCCTGTATATTGGCATGCCATCTACTTCGCAGATTGTTTACCTAACGCACTGTATTTTGGGGCTTATAGCACAGATGAGCTGGAATAGTTGCCGGGTGTTTCCACACCTAGCCGCTGATTCCATTATCTTTGCAATTAGCGTCCACCAGGCCTCTCGGTCGTCTCTCAGACTCTTTGTGAGTTCAGGGAGAGGCGCTGTTCATTGTATTCGTGGTCTGCCGGGATTGCCCGACGTGTTTCGAGGAGTCTGAGAGATTTGAAGGAGATCCAGTGATTTACAACTCGGCGAGTTAAGCTACAACTGTGTAAACCAGCTGAGTGCATTGCGTTTTCAATAGTTTTCCAGTGTTGATCTACGCTACTTGGTGGGGTAGTAGTTAGCCTTGCGGCCAACTTGTTTTGGTAACAGGCTAGTACGGCCGGGTCAGAAAGCTCGGTGACGTCAAGCTGTTTGCATCGCATCTTTTTTCGGCCACCAAATAGCATAGACAACTTGGCATAAACCAGTGCGTGGTCGGAGTCCAAGTAGGTCAACCAATACGAACGGCATTCTCACACATCCTCTCCATCTATAGCTAATACCTATATCATCAATCTAACTCCACGTCTGTACCGAAGAGGGGTTTCGCCAGGTGGCTCCGTGACGCTTAGTGTCTGAAGTTCATGCTAACGTGGAACACACCGTGCTCTGAGCATATGCTAAGAAGTCTAACCCCATTATTTGAACGACAGCTATCAAGACCATGACGGCCACCAAGGTGGGTCCCATCGGGTGACAGACGACCAACGCGTGCATTGAGGTCTCCGGCCAGGACCACAATATCCGTCTTAGATGCTANCTGTATCCGGGCTACAGTCTGGGGGAGCGTATGCAGAAACCACGAATAAGTATCGTTCATTTGGTTTCTGCTTTTTGACCTTAATTGAGCCTCTGAGTCTCACTGCGCCTAATCGGCTATCTATCGGGATCCAGTCCAATAGACTAGCCTCGGCCCTGGCGCTCAAGGCAACACCAACACCTGCTTGACTAGACACTGAAGCGATAGGAT